CTTAGGGTATACCACCCTAAGAAGACTTTGTATAAAGTCTAAATCATAATAATAATAATATGTCTCTATCACACCAATATGTTGCAAACTCTTTGCACATTTTTATATCTGTTTATTTTTCTAGCGATTTTAAAGGTATTTTCTTTTAGAATTTTCATATATTTTTATTGTCATGTCAATGTAATATAAATATGTATATACCAAGCAAAATATGGGCACGTAAAGTGTTACATTTACCACGACATCTCTGCCTACGCTTTCGAGCAAAAAAATATATTTTATTTAATTCACTAAGTATTCAACATTACGATTAAGAAAAAATCTTTATTCTTTAAGCATGCTCCATAAAGTTTGTGTGTATTTTTTTAATTACACCGAGCAAAACCCCCTCCGATCGATCCCCCGTCCAATTCAAACGGGGATCGAAATTACGACGGCCTGAGCCGAGGTTCGAACCCCTAGTGGTGCCCTCAGACTAAAGTCGTATCCGTCAGGCAGGAGTTGGCTTTCAGGCCTCCATAGTCCAAGTCCTTCCGCGGGTTTGGAGTGCCATCTGCACTCGCCCCCTAACGTCCGGTGAAGCTGTAAAGGCCAGCTGCGGCCAACAGCATTAGTAGTAGTCCGAAAAAAAAATCCTAGCTAAACATGGGCATGTAAAGTGTTACATTTACCACGACATCTCTGCCTACCGTTTCTATGTTACCAGTCGTGATGATATATTCTCATTGTTTATTTAAAAGATGGACTAGATTCATCATCTGCTTCTTCCTTATCCCATTTATTTGTGGTCGGCGTAATATGTTTTTCTCTTCCATTCATCTCTGTTCGCAGTCATCCCGTTATTTACTCCCTTTCTCACCATATCATCTTTTACACAGTCCATCCATCTCTTTTTCGGTCTTCCTCTACCCTTATAAAATAAATATATTAAAAGATGTACTAGACTGATAGTTATATTCCGCCGGTTGTATATCTTAGCGACAGAGATCTAACGTGTTTGTTACAGTACAATCTGAAAGACTTAATTCTGTACGCCTTCTACGTACACTTTAGCGGCCTTTTTGCCCATAAAGCAGTGACAGTCTTGCGTGCTCGGCTGTACTATGGTACAAGTTATAGCCTGCAGCGGATAAGGTAAATTGTAAACATGTTATTTACTAGCAGTGTCCCCGTAAAATTTTTAAACCATGTGTTATTCTGATGTGTAAGCTATGTTGTTGTAAAGTTTAATTTAAGCAAATAAATTATTATTATTATTATTATTATTATTAAAATTCATTCTGCAGTTTTGCGTGAAGAAGAAACAAAAATCCATCCAACCATTCACATTCACAAACTTTCACGTTTATTCGTAAGACTTACAGTACCAATATGTGATACAGTAACACACAAGTTTCTTGCTCGTTCTTCTTGTGATGAGACAGCTTTCCGAACGAGCGGTAGATAAAAAAAATTGTTATGACTTGAATAGTCATAACAATTTTTTTTAAATATGCTTAAATTAAGTTTATTTGAATAAATGATTTTCTATTCTATTCTAGAATATGTTCAAAATATAAGGTGATATAGGAAAAAATCTAGGATAAGAATTTAAGATATGAATTTTAGGATAAGCAATGCGTATTACCTACAATAATAGAGTGACACAGAAAATGTAATATTTATTTTTATTTTTAATTTACTTTACAAACTTACACAATAAGTGAATTTTTCAAATAAATAATCATATTTAAATGAAATACTATAAATTATGTTTTCTGTGTACATTTTTATTTACTATATAACTGTATAAAGTTTTTTTTTGATAATAACAAACAAATTTATTTGTGTAGTTTAATAAGTCCAAATCCGCTCGTATCGTATAAATTGCACCATACTGTTAGACCATCATGAATACAATAAGTCACCGTTAGCACATATGTGGTAATAATAATTTTAACTTAAACTCAAGGACGCCCGACGCTAATTACTTCGGCCACAACTGGCAGTATTCCAGGCAACAACACTAGCGTGCAGCGAAATACCATTGGAACAGGTACGTTGTGCCTGAATTAGAGGCCTTGTATTGGCTTTTAGGTACTTATATTTAGTGGATTAATAACTATTAACCGACTTCAAAATTGTGAGATCTTTTAGTACAATTGGATTGTTATCAATTTGGGCAGTATTTCAAGCAACAACACTAGCGTGCAGCGAAATATCATTGGAACAGGTACGGTGTGCCTGAATTAGAGGTCGTGTATTGGCTTTTAAGTACTTATATGTATTCAGTAGATTAATAATTATTAACCACCTTCAAAATGGTGAAGATTTTTAATAATTTTTTTTTGTACAATTGGATTGCTATCAATCTGGTCAGTATTCCAGGCAACAACAGTAGCGTGCAGCGAAATACCATTGGAACAGGTACGTTGTGCCTGAATTACACACACCGATGACTATAAGGTACTTATATTTAGTGGATTAATAACTATTAACCGACTACAAAATTGTGAGATTTTTGATTCCTTTTTTTGTACAATTGGATTGCTATCAAATTGGATAGTATTTCAAGCAACAACACTAGCGTGCAGCGAAATATCATTGGAACAGGTACTGTGCGCCTGAATTAGAGGCCTTGTATTGGCTTTTAGGTACTTATATTTAGTGGATTAATAACTATTAACCGACTACAAAATGGTGAGGTTTTTGATTTATTTTTTGTACAATTGGATTGCTATCAAACTGGATAGTATTTCAACCAACAACACTAGCGTGCAGCGAAATATCATTGGAACAGGTACGGTGTGCCTGAATTAGAGGTCGTGTATTGGCTTTTAAGTACTTATATGTATTCAGTAGATTAATAATTATTAACCACCTTCAAAATGGTGAAGTTTTTTAATAATTTTTTTTGTACAATTGGATTGCTATCAATCTGGTCAGTATTCCAGGCAACAACAGTAGCGTGCAGCGAAATACCATTGGAACAGGTACGTTGTGCCTGAATTAGAGGCCTTTTATTGGCTTTTAGGTACTTATATTTAGTGGATTAATAACTATTAAACGACTACAAAATGGTGAGGTTTTTGATTTCTTTTTTTTACAATTGGATTGCTATCAAATTGCATAGTATTTCAAGCAACAACACTAGCGTGCAACGAAATATCATTGGAACAGGTACGGTGTGCCTGATTTAGAGGCCTTGTATTGGCTTTTAAGTACTTATATTAAGTGGATTAATAATCATTAACCGACTTCGGAATGATGAAGTTTTTGATTCCTTTTTTTGTATAATTGGAGTACCATCAAGTCAATCATTCATTTCTCATCAATTAGAGGCCTTGTATTAGCTTTTAGGTGCTTATATTTAGTGAATTAATAACCATTAACGGACTTCAAAATAGTTTTGGATTCCTTTTTTTGTATAATTGGATTACTATCAAATTGGAATACTGCCCGTATTCCAATTATAGCGCGCACGTGACACCCCTGGTGTCTGAGGCGTCCATAGGCTATGGTAATTATTCACCATCAGATGGTGATGCTCGTTTGCCAGCGTCGTAGTGCAAAAAAAAATTCAGGCAGCATACTAGCGTGCGGCGAAATATTATTGAAACAAGTGCGATGTGCCTTGTATACGGCTAAACATGTAGGACAAACAGAGGTGCCCATTCAGACGACTCTATACAAAAAATGTAATTCAGAGTGTTCCGTATTCCGAACCTCCTTAGTCTAAGCAGGTTGTATCACCGGCTTGCTTACTGAAGCAAAGGGCGCTCGGTAATACTGGCCACATATAAAAACATGTGGCCACTTAAATTTCAAAAAAAGAATATTAAAACAATTGAAAATAAGAACTGGAATTAAAAGGACGCTCCGTATTTTTATCTATATAAAACAAGATAATTAAGTAATTATTTAACACATTATAATTGTTTTTGATGAAAATATACACTCTAGAGTGCGTGGCCACTAAACAGTATTACACATCGGGACGTTCCTGAGCAAAGGTGAGTAAGTTTGGTGTTACATTGCTTACTTTGGGGTGTTCGGAGTGTGGAAGACGTTCTTCCAGGTCGAAATCGTATTTTTACTTCCTTTTCCATTAATTATTTTCTTTTCAATAAATACAGTCCACTCTCTCTTTTATATATTAATTTATAAGGATTCGTAATCCAACATTTTTTGGCCCAATCGAACCGGATGAAATACATCCTATTAGTTATAATATTCATTTATCCAGTAATTCAGATAATTATATATATTATATTGTTTACATTTGTTGTGTTTTTCCTAAAATTATAGCATCTCATTTCATTCAATAATAGCTGATATTAGTTGCAAGGACGCATATTATATTGGGCGATATCATTTTTTCATATACGTAGTTAATATCAATAAAACAAATGACGACCAATTCTGAAATGGATTCTAAACAAAAGATTTTAAATTTTCGAAAGGAATATTTATATTCCAAATTACAAAAGGTTTATGATATGTCACAGTCCGTGACTAAAAGTAATTTTCAATTGTATTTAGCTGAATTTTCGGATTTAGATAATGTTAGAACACGTTTTGAAGAGACAATTATGGAAATATTACAACTTGAAATTCAGTTAAATCCTGATACTAAATACTCTACTAGAGAATTGGATTCATTTGATACATTATACTCTGACTGTAGATCAGTAGTAGTGAAATATCGAACGTTAGAGAGTACCTCAACGAATAAACATTGTGATCAGGTTCAGCCGTCTTTGCCCAAACTAAAATTATTTGAGTTTGACAGCCAATTAGAAAACTGGACAACCTTTCATGATACTTTCTTATCATTGGTTCATGAACGTAATTTTGAAAATATTGATAAATTTCATTACTTGTTATCTTGTGTAAAAGGTCCAGCTCTTAACATAATTAAGAAATTTCCTATCACTGCCAATAATTATCCACTTGCCTGGCAATGTTTAGTAGACAAGTATCAAGACCACAGAATATTGGTAAGTAGGTATTTAGATAAAATGGTTAACTTCACTCCGATAGGAAAGAACTCTGCGGCAAACCTAAATTCATTCATAGATACTTTCGATAATTCATGGAAGGCAATCGAAGCGTTAAAAGTGGATAATTTAAGTGATTATTTAATTTGTCATTTAGCGTTACGTGGATTAGATACAACCACTAGAAAATTATTTGAAGATAGTCGTGATCAAAAATTACTTCCGTCATTCGCAGAATTAATGAGTTTCGTAAACAATCAAATTAAGGTACTCGAACACACATTTCCTAATTCGTACTCCAGTCCCGTGATACTGGAACGTAAGCCCATAACAAAAAATCAAACAATATACAATAATTATAAACCGCGTTCTTTATCGGAGAAGCAAGCTCTTACTACTTCATCAGCGTTGTCGAATAATAATTTTAAATCTAATAATATTAATTCTAAATTTATTTGTCTTCATTGTAATCAAAATCATATGATTTATAGGTGTGAACAGTTTCGTAAACTGTCACCGGATGCCAGAATTGACCGTGTCAAGGCATTAAAGTTATGTACTAATTGTCTAAAGGCAAATCATGATAATTTGTCTTGTAAAAGTGTAATGTATTGTGGTGTGTGTGACTCACCACATCACTATTTATTACATAAGGATGCGGCGCATGTGTCGGCTGTGTCGACGGTGTCCACGCCTTGTAATATCAACTTCACTTCGAATAGATCACAGTTACAGCAAGTGCTAGTTACCGGTCGTTCTGTGAGCGAGTCGGAAGCTGGTGCACAAAAATTACAAAGTACTGATAATAAACATAATTACAGTGTCGTGTTAGGTACAGCGCGGTTGCATGTTAGGGATATGTATGGTGGAAGTCAGGACTGCCGTGCAGTGCTTGATTCTGGAGCTCAGTGCTCTTTTATAACAACGGATTGTGCTCAACGTTTGGGTCTTCCGCGTAAACAGTGTCCTTATTCGATATATGGACTTGGGGGTGAGGCCGTGAAGAATCACGGAATGGTCACATGTACATTTTCATCGCGACGTGTACATGAGCCTTATTTTACAGTAGATATGGTTGTAGTTAGTAAAGTATCGACCGATATGCCTAACATTTCGTTTCCGTCCACTGTGATTGACGAATATAAGAACTTTACTTTAGCGGATCCGTTTTATTATAAACGCTCCCGTGTAGATATTTTACTGGGTAATGACATAGTGTCGGAACTAATTAAGGATAAACCTATAATAATAAAATCTAATATTCCTCAAGTAATTGAAACAGTATTTGGATTTGTTGTAAGTGGCAAATTGTGGGTTAGTGATACTGATAATATGTTAAATTCTTATTTATCTTCATCAATTAATGAGGAACCATCGTTAGACATAACTTTACGTAAGTTTTGGGAAATAGAAGAGTTACCTTGTCAGTCTGTCATGAATCCACTTGATGAGTTGGCTGAAAAAATATTTATTAAATATCATACTCGGGATAGCAAGGGTAGATATATGGTACCTTTACTGTTTAGACCAAATCATCCTTCATTGGGTGATTCGTTGATAATAGCTGAGCGCCGATTACGCTATACGGAACGTAAACTAACACGGACCCCTATGTTACAAAAAGCTTATACGGAATTTATGAAAGAATATGAATCACTAGATCATATGGAACCGTATAATAATTGCGTTCCTAGTAAATACGTTATTCCACACCATAGTATTGTACGTCCAAGTAGCTCGTCGACGCCTTTAAGAGTTGTTTTCGATGCGTCTGCTAAGTCGGACAATAATGTGTCCTTAAACGATATTTTATTGACTCGTCCGAAACTTTATCGTGATATTGTCGCTATTATATTAAATTTTCGTCTTTTTCAATATTGTCTAGTGAGTGATATTTGTAAAATGTATCGTGCTATTTCGTTAAGAAAAGAGGATCGTTGTTGTTATCAACACATATTGTACCGCGATGCTCCGTCAAAACCTATACAACTATATGAATTAAAAACTGTTACGTATGGTTTAAGCTGTTCCCCATTTCTTGCAATACGTACTTTATTACAACTGGCGGATGATGAAGGTGAACAATTTCCTATGGCCGCTCAGGTGTTACGTGAAAATATATATATGGATGACATTTTATGCTCATGCGAGAACTTACAGTTAGCATGTAAATTACAGGACGAGCTAATTGAATTATTAAGTCGCGGTGGTTTTGTACTCAAGAAATGGGCGAGTAATAAAGTCGAGTTATTAGAGCGAGTTCCCGTGGAACATAGAGAATGTCCTATTGATTTTATTAAGGATGAGAATGAATGCACTGTCAAAGTTTTAGGCCTACGTTGGGTTCCGTTATCAGACAGGTTCAATTTTACAGTAAATGTTAAAGATTATGTGAACACAAAGCGATCTGTATTAAAAATATTAGCATCGATATATGATCCCGTGGGTTTTATATCGCCTTGTTTATTTATGGCTAAAGAAATAATGCAAGATCTATGGAAGTTAGGAATAGGATGGGATGAGCAGATGCCTGCACATATATGTAAACGTTGGACAGATTTTATTACTGAATTACCGTGTTTGTCTGAAATTCTTATTGAACGACACATGTTACTGCCTAATCAATTGGAATGTGAATTAGTGGGATTTTGCGATGCATCTTCTCGGGTTATGCCGCGTGTGTTTATGCTATTAGTCGAGATGATGAAGGGCGTGTTAAAGTAAGTCTAATGATGGCGAAATCTAAAGTGGCACCGATCAAGCCGTTGACTATTCCTCGTCTTGAGCTGATGGGCGCCCTACTGCTATGTAAATTAATTAAATATATAAATAATAACTTAAGTCGTTTGAAAATTGCCCGTGTGTACTGCTCTTACTGATTCGACAATCGTATTGTCATGGCTTCAAATTGAAGCTTATAAATTAAAATTATTTGTTTGTAACCGTGTTACACAAATAATAGAAACGTTACCGCCACATTTTTGGAGACATGTCAACAGTGAGAACAACATGGCTGACATTTGTTCTCGCGGCGCTAGTCCATCTCAACTGGTAAACTACAGTAGAAAATGGTTATCGGGTCCAGATTGGCTTCACGAAAATATTAGTAAATGGCCTGTTACATTGTTCGTAAACAATGAAAAGTCAAATTTATTGGAATTAAAACCAGATATTAAAATTACCTCTCTTATCGGTACTAATTCTAATGAAGTAGTGGAATCTAAATTAGAATTTTGTGAAAGAATATTTAATCAATTTTCATCATATACCAAATTACAACGTTGTTTCGCTAGAATATTAAAATTGTTCAATAATAGTTTTAACAATTCAGGATCTGCAACTCTGACTACATCAGAATTGAATAAATCACAAAATTTTTTAATTAAAATGATACAATCAGCATATTTTGATACCGAAATTAACAATTTATCACAAGGTCATGAGTACATACCCAGTTTAAGGAAACTTTCACCTTTTTTAGATGAAGAGGGATTCCTCAGAGTCGGGGGTCGTTTATCACATGCCGATTTACCATATAATGCTAGGCATCCTCGACTATTACCAAAGAACAGTAGATTCACTACCCTACTTATTAAACATTTTCATTTAAAGTATTTACATGCCGGACCTCGTACTCTACAGAATATTCTTATTCAAAATTTTTGGATATTATCTGCTCGTCAGATTATTCGTTCAGAATTATCCAAATGCATAATTTGTTTTCGGAATAGACCGTGTCTATTACAACCGAAGATGGCATCTTTACCTTTAACGCGTGTATTACCTAACAAAGTTTTCGATCACGTTGGTGTAGATTTAGGCGGTCCGTTCTTTGTAAAAGAAAATTTGCGTCGTAACGCAAAATCATCCCGTGCATACGTTGCATTATTTGTGTGCTTTTCGACAAAAGCGGTACACCTTGAAACGTTATCTTCTTTATCAGCGGAATGTTTATTGGCCGTGTTAGATCGTTTCGTCTCTCGTAGAGGCTTGTGTTCTATTATTTATTCTGACTGTGGCACTAATTTTCTTGCTAGTAGTAAGCATTTAAATGAAATTCAAAAATTTTTCGCAGACCGTCAAACTCAAAATGAACTTATAGACGGCTGCTCCAATCGATCTTTAATTTGGAAATTTAATCCGCCTAGTGCACCACATATGAATGGGTTAGCCGAAGCTGGTATTAAATCAGTAAAATACCATCTTGTTAGAACTATAGGACAGAAGTCTTTAACGTTTGAGGAACTTTCCACAATATTTTGTAAAATAGAGGCTATATTAAATTCTAGGCCGCTATGTCCACTACCACCAAGTGATAATCCAGACGATTATAACGTTTTAACCGCTGGTCATTTTCTTATAGGTAAAAGTTTGGTTGCTGTTCCAGAGTATAATGTTGAGGATATTCCAATTAACAGATTGTCACGTTGGCAATATTTACAGAAATGTACTCAGCTATTTTGGAAAAGATGGAAAGATGAATATTTAAACACTTTACAACAACGGGGAAAATGGTTCAAATCTAATGCTAATATTAAAATAGGAGATATTGTATTAGTTAAAACCGATAACGTGCCTCCTTGCAATTGGCCTTTGGCTCGTATTGAATTACTTCATCCTGGAGATGATGGAATAGTTCGATGTGTTACAATTCGTACACAAAAAAATCTCCTTAAGAGACCAGTTAATAAATTGAACCCCCTTCCCTATATTAATTAATTTTCCATTTCTTTTTCCTTATTATTATTGTACAGTTCCCTTTGCATTACTTCTTTAGTTAATGAATTTTATTTTACCTTTATACTAACTTGAAACCGTCAATACGGTTTCGGCCGGGGGTATGTTCCGTATTCCGAACCTCCTTAGTCTAAGCAGGTTGTATCACCGGCTTGCTTACTGAAGCAAAGGGCGCTCGGTAATACTGGCCACATATAAAAACATGTGGCCACTTAAATTTCAAAAAAAGAATATTAAAACAATTGAAAATAAGAACTGGAATTAAAAGGACGCTCCGTATTTTTACCTATATAAAACAAGATAATTAATGAGTTATTTAACACAATATAATTGTTTTTGACGAAAATATATCTTCTAGAGTGCGTGGCCACTAAATGGCCGGCGCGTGGCTACTACACATCGGGACGTTCCTGAGCAAAAGTGAGTAAGTTTGGTGTTACATTGCTTACTTTGGGGTGTTCGGAGTGTGGAAGACGTTCTTCCAGGTCGAAATCGTATTTTTACTTCCTTTTCCATTAATTATTTTCTTTTCAATAAATACAGTCCACTCTCTCTTTTATATATTAATTTATAAGGATTCGTAATCCAACACAGAGTTTAAATTGGCCTACTACCAAGCTGGCCAAACGGCTTGGCATAGTGTCTTATATCAAGTTGTTGTTTTCAATTACCATTAATTTCAATTTCAATTACCGTTTTGTTTCAGTAATCACGTCTTACGAGATACTGGACACGGTTATTGCACATTGGTGTTACATATTGTGTATTCTGTGATGATCACAGTACCTACTCATATATTGTGATCACCATAGAGCAATCAATGCGATATTTTTTACATGTATTCACGCCCTTATAAGAACGGAACAGTAATTTAATCAAATAATTACTTACAAATAAACCGTACTAAAAGGAATTAGTTACATAGATACATACAAAAATTAATTTGTTCTAAATGACGCAAACCATGTAAGGATCTTTAAGAGCCAGAAACGTACTTACATGTGTACTTATTCGAAATTTGAAAATTAAAATACGAACTCTATCAATTCTTGACTGAAAACATACATTCTCGAGTCGTACTTACATGTGTACTCAATTCAAAATTCGAAATTTTAAAATACGAACACTAACGACACTTGCTGAAAGCATGTATTTCCGAGTCGTACGAACATGTGTACTCAATTCGAAATTTCAAAATACAAACTCTATCGATACTTAAATAAAGACATGTATTCCCTAGTCGTACTTGCATGTGTACCCGATTCGAAATTCGAAATTTCAAAATACGAACCCGATCGACTATTGACTAGAAACATTAATAACAGTCATATCTAGTATTCTCATAGCTCGTAACTCGCATTATTGTAATTTGATTCAAACATTCGAACGCCAAAATTAATATACATTCGAAATAAACGAAGTCTGTTTATCTGACCTCCTTCGCCACGAGTTGATGAATAAATAAATATGGACCAATTAAGCTCGAAAGCGGTGCCGTTAATTGGAGTCAGCACTTGTTTTATAATTGTCCAATTTATTCTTCATATTCTATTTTTGAAAATATATGAATTAATTATTAAGAATATTGTTTCTTATCAATCAATTAATTGGAACTACTTACAAAAGATTAACAACTTTCTTTTGTATTAAAATATATATAAGATCAAATATAGGTTATATTGATCTTATATATATTTTAATACTACTAAAACAAAACTAGTTAGCAATAGCACAGTTAATATAATATGGCAATAGTATTTAACAAAAAAAATAAATGGCTGAATTGAAAACTATTAATTATAAACAGTCTTAATTATTCAAGTTCAGTTTTAGTACACAAAACATTGTTGATATGAGAATGTTAACTTTTATATAGAGTGTAACAATATATAGCTTGAAAAACGAGTAAGTGGTTGGAAATAATCAATTATTATATTAAATTTTACCCCAGGACAAATCACACAGCGCCATCTAGTTCCAACTAATCAGTTTGTATTATTACTACTATTACAAACTACACAATTTATAACAATATTAAGTATTGTTATAAATTGTGTAGTTTGTATTTTTTTATACTTACCAAACATACATAGAAAACAGACTTATACTCATTATTTTATTAATATTGTTAATATTACAGTGCCTTATGTGCCTTAAAAGAATAATATATAAAAATTTTATCTATCTATCTAAACAAAATATATATACAAGAAAATAATTCAATAATATACAACATAGTACAGCTTGGAATGAATACAAATTCCTTGAAAGTTGTAGCGTGTGAGTCGCAGCATTAACAACAATTACGATAACACCCCGTTGTTATATTGGTAGGACGCAATTTACGACTTCATTATTCGCTGTTAGAGCTCGAAAACTTGTCGGTATTGCATAAAGTTATTGATGATAAGTATTCTAGTTTATATACTTCCTAAATGTAGTCGTGTAGGTCATATTTTTACATATAATAACATATATATAGATATGGTTATCTAAAGAACATAAATAAACACATTTATATACACTTAAAAATTAAACATGAGTAATTAATAACCTACGGGTGATCATAAGGTCCTAAATGAATGAATAAAAATAAATACATGAGTAAGTAATGAATATATGTAATTATATGTATTAAATTATTACTATTATATGTAAAGTGATGTTATTAGAACATTCAAGTGTAGCATTACACATAATATAATAATAATAATATCTAAGGACAATTCACATAGCGCCATCTAGTCCCATGCTAAGCAGAGCTTGTGTTGTGGGTACTAGTCAACTGATATAAAAACATGGATATATATTTTTTTGTAAATAAATACATATTAAAGATAGAAAACACCCAGACCGTTACAATCATACTCATGAATACAAATTTATGCCGTGCGAGGAATCGAACCCACGACAATCAGATAGTAAAGCGGTGTGCTAAACCACTAGACCACCGAGGCTGTCGTACCACAACATAATTTTCGTGTTTC